GGGCTAAGTGATTGAGAACTGAAAAGAGACTAATTATTTTTTTATGGGGGTTTTTCAGTGGGTTTTGTTTGGTTTTTATCAGGTGTTTCTGTAATGCTATAGAAGATTATGGCAAATATTTGACCTTGCCTTTGGGCTGTTTGTTTCATAGTTCCCTTGTCCCTCAGTGGTACTCCTTCGATGCACAAAGCTATGTTTGTGAAATCACCTCTCTAGCTTGAACCATATATTTTCAATAAAAATAAATTTTAAAAAAAGGTCAACGTTTAATTATTATAATATAATTAAAGTATTGTGAATGAGTAGTAAGACTGCCTCACAGTCCAGAAAAGGTGTGAGCAGCCTGTTCATTCACTGCTTGCTTACTAGATTTATTATATAATTTTCAGGGGAACTGCATGGGGTTCTGCTCAATCTAATCTTTGTACTGATGAGTAACAGGGCTGTAGATACATAACAAAACAGTTTCATACCTTAGTTATTCTATGGCCAGGTTTGATTTAAGTGTTTTTGATAGCAAGCTTCACCATCTATCTGTCAAGAGCCTAAAAAAACTAGTAGGTAGTGACATATATGTGTAGATATAAATATTCACATCCAAATGTACACATATATACATATATATACAGATTTACTAACATAGTGTAGTCCTTTCATTGAACTGTTCAGACAGATATCACAGGTTTTATGGCACATAAACTCTCTTCCTCAGTGAGAGAGTCTAAGGATGGTTTGGACAAGTGAATTTAGTGAGGGTTGGACCAGTTTGCTTTACTGACATCGATGCTGAACCAGTTCTTGCACAGTTCTCCATAGTCCTGCACAAATACTGTCATGCACTGATTCTTCCCCTTCTTCTACCTCCACCCACCCTCCCTTCCCAAAACACCCTTATTTGCTTACAAACACCAGTGTAGCCATTTTATACCAGGTTCTTTGTGTTAGGACCAATTGACTATTTGTACTCTCGGTTTTTCAGATGCTTAACTGAGGCTCTTGCAGAGCTCTGCTCCTCTTCTTTCCTCTCCATTATTCAGAACCAAAGTTCATCATACTGTGGTTGATTACAAATCACTGTGGTGATACTGCTGCACAGAAGATTAATGATGTCAACTTTAAATAACAAGATTATTTAATAGCAGAATGCCAGAATGTTATGGACTCCAAAAGGAGACTTAGTTTTTCTTAAGCTTAAAAACATACAGTTGCATGTAGGATGATACATAATTCCTGAGCTGCAATTGAAGCATAGTCCAAAACTTGCAAATAATTTTTAAATTCTCAGCATGAGAAAGGAGAACATTTTTGGACTGCTTAGCAAAATTATCAATCCATCATAATCAATGGAAAGTAGCTAAATCAAACCATACTATATCTGTATTTGACTACATAGCTGGTATGAGGGTGACATTTGCTGCTACTGCAGAATTATGCCCTCACAGCATCCTGCATAGTAGCTGATATAAGTTATCATTACCAAGAGGCTGATTCTGGAGCTTAAGCAAGAGAGAAAGGCTCTGGGTTAATCTTATGTCAAAGTATTAATAGCATTGGTTTCGTGAATTAAGTATTATTCATGTTACAAACTTTTCTAGAAGAAAAAAAGAAAACACAGAAATCTCTCCTTCTTTTAGAACACAAATACATAAATTTTAATCTGAGAAAAATACAAAATGAAACCATGTACAAGTTATGTACAAACCCTTTTTACAGGACAATATTTTTATCACTGGATATTACATATGACAAAGTCAGGTAGATCATTTCTGAGCACCAGCATTTGTTCTCTCTCACCAACCCATAATGGTAAAAGTAAAATGATGAAGTCATACTCCTTTTTCTTGATGAACTTTTACCTTAAAATGGTAGCTGGTTCTCAGTGCACCCCCTTGCATCCTCACTCCCAAATTATAACTAGACATATGAAACAATTAAAATATATTGTATATATGTGTTGATGTGTGTGTGTTTTCCTGAAGGAAGAAAATGACTTCATCAGTCTTGAACTCTACAAAAATGTGAAAGTTAGAGTTATATCAATTTTTTTTTTCCCAGAAGTTAAATTATTTGCATTGGCTAAGCTCATGTGTCCCAAGCTATACCATGGCAGAAGCAGCATTTTTTAACTGATTATAACTTCTGCTGACACTTTATGCGGTTCCTGTTAGTTATTATCCAGTCAACAAAACATTTTTTGTTTCTGAAAAATCTATGTTTTCTATTACAGATATTCAACTGCCTATATGCTGTGTTCTGGGTTGTTTTTTTGTGTTTTTTGGGTTGTCTTTTTTTTAAGTTACAGAGATCTCCTCTAAGATACATTGACTGAAGCAGTAAGAAGCCTTCTTTCAACCTCATTAAGGTTCTAGTTAGATGCAGCATTACTGTGTTTAGCTTCTTAAGTTATTGTTCTAAATTAGACCCAAAGTAATAAAAGAAACACCTTATATTTTATATTTTCTTCATTTTCCTTACTCCTTCTCATTTTGACAGTTAACAGTAACACACCATTGTATAGAACAGATAAATTAGACCAGCAGTCCTAGCTATTCACTTCAGTGAATTACTTGGTTATATAGACTACTGCACAGAGACTATACAGTTTCAGTGTGGCAGCATGTTCTATAGCAGAGAAAATCTGTGCAGAAGATACATTATTTGTATAAATATAGCTTTGATAAATGCTGAGACAGACTTATCAATACTGTAGGCCTATGTACCTTCCTAGGCAGTGACCACAGCAGAACAGTGGTCACTACTCCATTCCTTTCATTGTTTCAGATGGGGGCTGTAACCCACACCCACTACTATTGCTCAGCATGAAAATACTATAAATATTAGGCCTACTAATGGAATATTAGAACACCTGGTGTGCATATATAATGAGTTTTCAAAAAAAACTTCCCTTAAGCCTGTGATTGTTCAAGCATCTTTAGAATTAAAAAACAAACTAAATTAAAAAGGTGCTTGTTTGTATGTTGGGGATTTTGGTGGTTCAGACGGTACAGAATGGAAAGCAACAGAAAGAATATAAAGAGCTTTCCTTTCCCCTGAATTTTTTTTATGCATTTGCCATTGATTTTGACAGATATTCCCAGACTAAACCACTGTAACACAGGGAACAGATTTCTGTTTTCACTTTGTCTTGTTCATCGCCTTTCACACACTTGGTTATTTTGTTTAAGCACATTTAAAACTAGAAATGAAAGGTGAGATACACACTTCTTTTGGTGCTAAAGAAATTCACAATGATAACAGCTGTAAAAAAAAAAAATTACACACATACACACACACCTCGACCTCAATTTGTGTTCATTTCAAATACATTGGGATCCAGGAGCCCTTAAGAATTCACTTCTTGATAAAATAATTTAAGCACCTGCTCAGTGTTTGAGCTTGAGCCATGTGAGTCAGCTAGACCAGGGCAGTTGCTAACATGATTATGAATTGGCTGCTGAGTGATCAAGCAGTGATAACATGAATAATAACCCATTTGTAAATTATTGCTTTTTTTTGTCATGCATTAATTTATGCACCCAATTATTGCAGTAGACATTAGATGTAGTTTACACAGAAACACACACACTCACACCCACACCCCAACAAAACCAGTTCTCCCTGAATGAGAATACACTATTGCACTTTCTCCTTCTCCTACTATATGAAGAGATCAAGAAATGTGAAATCTTCCTTACACAGGCCAAAAATATCCAACAATAATACCCACCACCACCCAACAACAAAAATAATTTGTAGTGTCCCTTGTACAGTGCATGCAAACTACATTTGCCCTTTTCCACATTTGCTGAGGCCAATTAAGTCTTTTCATATCCAAGTGACCATGCCTGACCCAGATCAAGGGGTCTGTACTTTCTGTCACCTGTATTTCCTACTGTTTGGCCATTGATGCTGATTTGAAAGACAAGCTGTTAAGATGGCAGTGACAGTTTTAGTACATTTTCAAAAACTACAAGGAAATGTTTACATTTCTTACAGCAGTAAGACAATCAGATAGAGGCCTTAAAAAATTGCATTTAGACTATGAATATCTTCTTTATAGCTTAACTTTTGCTGTGCTTGGCACTTGCCACCAAATCTATTAGAGGACAGTTTTATCCTTTAATCTTAGTGCTTCATGGGGACAAATTAAAATAACAGCCATGAAATAGAGAGAGAGAGAGCAGACTTTCTGGCAATGTGCAAGTGTATGTATGTGAGGAGCACGTGCCTGCTGCACCAGTGGAGGGAGGTGTGTGTCTGCAGTGAACTTACAGTGCATCCCTCATAAAACTAACAAGAATGGCTGCTTTTTGGTCAAACCAGGAGGAAACAGCAGATACAACTCCTTCATGTGCTACCCTATTATCCACATATTTTCTTTTGTTTGTGTCTTTCTTTGCCCCAATGCATGGACAGTAAAAATGATGTCCACCCTCATATGATGACTCAATCAAATACATATATACCCCCATGTATATGTGTGTATGTCTACATATATGTGTATGTGTGGACATGCATATATGCAAACACACACACACATACAGACACACTATCTATCCAATAGGAGTTACCGAAAAAAAATTGTATAACCTGTATCAATAGTGCATGCAAGTATTGAAAAACTCGAAATTCCTCTCACCCTGCCCTTTTCTTTTTGCCTTTTCAGAAAGGATTAAGAATTATTAATAAAAATCAAGAACTTATCTCTACATCAGTCATCGTGTGGTCTGTCAGCTGTCACTTAGGCCCCTTTCCCAGCCTTTTCCCAGCTTTAATGTAACTTCATATATCCACATATTGATGCTGACCTTATTGTAGTTTTTAATGGCTGAATATCAAAGATCTCCAACAGGTTTTCTACATGTTCTTCCATCTAATTGCCAGAAGTCAATCCTGCATCTTTGATCATCAAAAATAGGAGTTGGAAAAGACTATTGTTTTTAGCTTTTCTGTAAAGGGGAAATGTAAAGTCATAACTCTACCTGTTTCTCTCTGTCTTGTTTGCTCTCTACAGGTGGTGTTCTATCTATCACTACATATGGAACTGTCTGTGCCAGGACAGTGCGTGAGTGTGTTCAGATTTTTGTCCTTTATTTATATACAGTTGGTAGTGTGGTATTTTTGGGTGTGACAGTTAAACTGGACAGAGACACACACACACACACACCTTAGCTATGTAGGAGTGTTGTATTTGTTTCACTAGTATGTTTTATCCAGGGAATGCTCACTTCTGAAGGAAAGACACTCAGAAATGGCACTGTGTATGATAAAGTATAAGATATAATGTTCTATGCCTCTACAGTAAACACCAGTCTTCTAAGAAAAAAAAAAAAAGAAATCACATGTACTTGGTGAGGTTGAGCACAAATTTCTAAAATTCACCTGTACTCAGGACCAGCTTTTCCATTCTGGTTATAATATGCAGTTCATAAACGAAAAAGGAGCACTGACTTCAAAGAAAAGGCTTAACATGACCCAACGCAGAAACTGGATGTAAATTATAATGTGTCACTAGGCTGATGCAGCGTAGATCGGAAGAACTCACTGGAATTATCTTCTCTTTTGGGGACTGTGAAATGTGTTAAACATGGTCTAAATAATTATGAAAAACTACTTGAACTGTTTTTTTTTACTTTGTAGGAGAGTGAAATATTTTAAACAATCCAATTTTACAGATACTGTATTAACAATTCTTGTTATTGTCTTTAAATAGCTATTCTACAAATGTAACAACAAAATAGTCACAGTCCAAGAAGTCACTCCAGAATAAAGCCTATTAGGTGTTAGTATGGTTATACTTGTACTGCAGCCAGTGGACAAACATTAAAGCTGAATAGATTGGCTTAAATGTTGGATTATATAGTGGACATCATTGTTTTCACAATAAATTCATCATCTGCTTTGTATTTGATTGATTCACTGATATTTCTCTACTGATAAAAATACCACAGTATGTTTTATTGTGGTGTTTAACAATTCTGCAAAATTACAAAGCCTAAAGTTAACTTGCACAATGAAAATCTGCCTTTCCTGATGACTCTGTTTTGGGTTTTTTGGTTTTTGTTTCCTTATTACCACAGCCTTTTCTTTTTGTTTTTCTTCATACAATTGTGTCAGATGTTGCTTCTTTGAGATAGAGAGAGTTACTAAATCATTTAGAACATAAATGCTTGGGTGGATAGGTACTGCAGCACAGATATGAAACATCACATTTTTGTCTGATGGCTATAAAGCTTGTTGGCAACTTTGTGAAACTGCTGACACAAAAGGCACCTATCAAAGGCCTTTTGCATGTTATCATAATAAATACATTCATTATTATTTTGATTTGGTTATTACTGTACTTTTATGTGTGGTGTCCCAGCAAAGTGAAAATAAATTAGAGGGGAAAAAAAAAAAAAACGAAACCAAAAATCAACTGCTAAAATAAGATGTTGCTTGGTGCAAGAATTAACTGAGGACAGCATGTTGCACGATTATAGAGCTGAGGCTAAACCAGTTTTTATCTTGATCTGAATTCCCCAAAAGGAGATTCAGTGTGTCCTTTACTAAGGTATGAGCTATCACCAAAGTGCAAGGAGCTGGAGCTAAATCTCTATATGTATCAGGAAGCATTTGAACCAAATCAGACCAATGAAAGGCCATCAGCACTTTTGAAGTAAAGAAGTAACAAAATATGGTAGATGAGACAGTTTATAACTTATGCTTCCATGCGCCATTTTATGCAGCCTGGATGAAAGCACTGTAATACATGGCAAAAGAATTGCCAAACCTGCCTTCCTGAAATTAGCAACTGCTGATGGCTAATGGGAAGTGAAGTGAGATGGCCAGATTTGCCATTTATAGCAAGTGCACCTTATCTACACGGTCCTTGGTTTAGGGCAGGGACATTCCCTATGCCAGTGTTACAGAAAGTTACTGAGGATGCTGGGTTTCTCCGTGGGTGTGTGTGCACGTGAGACAGGGCAGGGTGTAGTGGGTGTGGGGGGTTATTGGACCCTCACATAACTGGCAATTAAGATGATCTATGTATGTTAATAAAACAAAGGATATTTCAGAAGAATGTTACATGTACAAAAATATGACCTTCGACTTTGAAAATAAATAAGTTCAGTTTATTAAGAGCTGGTGTTGATGCTGAACAAAATACAAATCTTCCAGTAAAGAAACATTTTGGTGAATTGTTGTAGGGTGATTTTTTTTTGGTTGTTTTTTTTTTTTTTGATTTACTAAAATACAAGTTGGACCTTTTTTTTTCCCCTTTTTGTAAATATATCATTTGCCTCCCTTAATTACACATCCTTATAACTGTGACCATCATTCTCCTTTAAGCCAAGACTGAGGGTTTCTTGTTTGTTTTGGTTTTTTTTTTAATTCTTAGGAGTCTGGCCACACATGCAGGTTTTTTTAAGGGAAAATACTTGACAATGAAAAAAAAGAAAAAAATATATTTTTTTCTAATAAATAAAAATAATTTAAAACGCTAGAGGCTATACATGACTAGTTTTGATTATGTTCATTTATAAATGAAATAGTTTCCAAAATACGTGGAAGCAATATTAAAGGCAGACAAACAAAGATCTGTCTACTTCAGTTTCCCATTAAGCTTGCCCTTCTTAACTTCTCCATCAGTGGTTCAGCATGTAAGAGGAATAAATGTCACATCACCATTCATGAAGTTTGTCAGGCTTTAAAAAAATAGTTCTGGCCTCGAAGGAGTCAACATTCATCTTCAACTTCTCGGATTGGTGGTATCAAGCTGCTTGTTGATTTATACTGATTGATCTGATTGGCCATGTGAGTGCTCATGGGCTTGATTTGAATGTTTCTGGGATAGGCATTATCCGGCTCATCTGTAAACCATTTCTTTTCTGCTAAGGAGTGAAACAGGTAGAGACAGAATAAGGAAGGAAAATGAAAGTTTTAATTAGTGAACTACATATACACATAAACATTCAAATAAAAGGGGGGGGAGCAGTCAGTAAAGTTTATAGAGAAAATAGATCAACAGAAGGTGATTGATTAATTACTAGCAGTACAGCATGAGATTAATACCTCTGAAAATACTGTTCATGAAAGGAAGATGATGTTTGCAGATTTGATAATAGAAACTAAAGAAAACTGCCAATACGTTAGTTTTCTTGTTGGATCTTTTTTTATCCCATGCTTAGGTGAACACTCTCTGACTCATTTATTGAAAAAATGATACTGAGAAGCCAGGGAGAGCAGCTGGGATAAGGGTAATGCAAAAAATTGCATGTGAGTGTATACACAGAGAAGCACCTAAAGAGGCAGACACTTCTCTGAACCATTTCAACCTCCGGATGGTTGCTACTGCTGTCTCAGAAATCATGCAGGAGAATGAAAAGAGCTTTCTGCAGTTGGTGCTAGAATAAACAGGACTTGTATTCATGCTGCCAGATGGCAGCCTTCCTACACAGGGTGGGATTTATATCGTTACTTCGAAACATCGGTGCTTGGGCACTGTTGAACTCTACAGTTTAAGAAGGTGTATGGAATACACCGGGAGCAGCAGGTGACTGTAGTAGGGGCTCCAGCTAATCATGAATGGACTGGTTGTCATAGGTGAGAGAAAGGCAAAGGAAGCAAGGACTTAAAGGAAGATTAGAGGAAGCTGTTTCTTTTGTATCTTTGGGCAGTGTCCGTTTCCATGAACACAGGAGGAATTTTATGGTACACTTTAAGGTGGGATGGGAGCAATGTGGGAGGGAGTGAGGATGCTGAGGGGCTGCAGCATTGCAGCCATTCTCTAGCTGTTTATCATTGTAACCATTATATTGCACTGCTCATACGTGGGTGTGGACAAAAACTTTTTAAAATTCACAAAAGGAAAAAATAAAAATAATTTTATTAAACCCTTTAGAGAGCAATTTCTTTTGTAATTTCTCAATTACAGGTGTGCAACTTTATAAGACAGTTCTATTCAAAGACTTAGAAACTCCTGGTCTAAAGAGTGGCTTATGGCCATTAGGCATACTTGTGCTTTGACAAGCATTTGTGAACAGGGGTCTCCATTCTTGTCCTCCTTCCCCAAATTCCAGAGGTGGGAGGGCAGGGCAGTGGACACTTATGGTTCTGGGCATTTTCATTATTATATGTAAGATTTAAAGTGTGCCATGTCAGAGCTGCTGCTCTTACATGTATGCACTATTCCTCATTCCAATGGGGAACCCAAAATGCTGCAGAAGCTTTAGTGTCTCGCTTACGTAATACAGATTGCTACTTTTACAAACCACTGAAATGCTGCACTATCTGGAATCGGGATAGGAGTGGAAGAAATACTCATTTTTCAATAAATAAATGATTAAAAATAAGCAAAGCAAAATCCACCTTGGAAACTCAAGGATCAAGCACAAAAGCTCAGGAGGTAAAGGAGAGAAAAGAAACTGAAAGACTGGGAAGAATAAAGGACAAATACCTGGGCATAACTGCACAAAAGTAAGCAACCAGCTTTGGATATAGAGCCTCTCAAGAGGTAGCCTAATTTCCAGAATTACTGGACTTCTCAGTCACTTTTGTGAATATTCCATTTAAACACTTACACTTGATATGGACTTCAAGAATATACATGCAGTGCCCCCATCCCCCAACAACAAACCCCAAACTCATAAGCATTTAATCCAGCTTTTTTTTTTTTCCCAATCTATTTGTTACCTGTTCTTACACTTTTTAAAAAAATTAAATTGAAAAAAAAGGAATTATATTACTCGTTACTCAAAGCAAATGGCAATATTATACTGTTTTTCTTGTCATTTTCTAAAATGCTTTTTACTTCTGTTTAAAAAGATCCTACTCATTTGCGACCAGGTTGAATAATTCCCTACCCCCTTAAAGTTGCCTGAATCTGAACAATGTTCAATCTCCCATCTTCCTCTCTCTTTTACCTATTATAATTAAGTTCCCTTTGATTTGAACAGATTGGACGATAGGAATTCATAATGTTACATCCTGCACACTGAAGCTAACTGATTAAGTGCTTTAAATTATTCTTCCTGACAGAATGATAAAGTTACAATCTGTTCAGAGATGATCTACAGCTTGCCAGACTCCTACCGCTTCTTTCTACATTCATTTATCTTTTTGTCAAGCAGTTAAAAAAAAAAAAGAAGCCTCAATTCCATAGATCTTTTAAAGTAATCAGAACATCTGAATTATTAATGAGACTTTAAGGGAATGATTCCTGATGGGGGCCAGTTTAAGAAAGGTTGTCAGAAAAAGAAAAAATCTGGGAATGTGTACACATCAAAATAATTTCAGCTCCATTTAAAAAACCATTTAGTTCAAGTGTGACACATGAACCATTATGCATTTGTGGAAACCAATTTTATGTGATCTACGATTAAACTAACCTTTCAGAGAGGTGTAAAGTGTGATGGTTATCATGTTTTAAAAGCCTTGCGAGATCACATAAACAATTTCAAACTAACAGTTTTCTAATGGTTTGTGTTTAAAATGATTTTGAGACAAGTTAAGCACTGCTAACTTCTTTTCTAACACATGGTGCACAAACTTTCCTTACAAACAGAACTTGGTGCAAGTTAATTCGATGTCGTAGCAAGAAAGGGCAGAACTGCTTGAGTGCTAAGGATCATAACTGCATTGTGTTTCTCAGCAGCCAGTGTAAAGCACTTCCAAACACTCTGCTTTCCCTAAAATTTTCAAAACAAGCTAATTATTTATATGTTAATCTTTACAATAAAACTCATATATATGGGGAGCTGATCTTTAAAAAGACACCATTGCATCTCTTTTTGCATTTAGCTGGTAAGTAATAAATACAGAACATTAATAATAATTGCAGAAACTGGTAGATTCTAATTTCTTCTGCTGCTTAGATTTCTTTTTGCCAGTGCTGAAACTTTGATCTAAGCACTAGCATCTCCAGTATCAAATGGGTGGACCCAGCTTTATAGCTTTCCTGTTCCTTTCTGCTGTTAAAATTGTCTTTGGCCACATAACAATGAATTTCCTGTGAAAGTTCATCAACCTCTATACTTACCTTTGAAATGTAAGCTTAACACTCCTCATCTTTACTCTTGACCACTTAGATATTCTGCTCCAAGTTACTAAATATCCTTCTTGAATGTCTTACACTTTTCATTCTTTTATGCTACGCTCACAGTCTGACTGTGATATGTCTTCTGGAGTTTTAGCACAGATTTTTACTTATCTTAAATAAACTACTTACTCTATCCTTTAAAGCAGTTCAGAAAATCCCCTTTTTAAGTCTTTCAATATCGTTATATCCACCAAGCTCTTTTTAGGACTCTGTCATGTTTCGATTTCTCCCCCTTTTGGAATATGCATATTGATCTTTACCATATGTGTTTCTACATTATAGAGATAATAGGCACACTTTTTCATTTCTTTTTAAGAGCTATTGAAGAGAGTCCCTGATCTCCCTACACTATTTGGCAGGTTTGTTTTTGACAGCATCACCTGAGAGATGTTGGAACAGATAAGTAACTGCATGTCTCAGAAAGCAGAAAACATTTACTTTTCCTCTCAAACACTCATGTTTTAATGGGCTATCAGCATCCCAGTGCATCCACAAAGGTTCTAAAGGCTTCATGCTCTTATTACCAATAAATAAAAATTAACATTTCTGTGTAAGACTCTTCCCTGCAGCATAAAAAAGGATATAAATAATTAAAGTAAAATGATCAAAATACAGATTTCTTCGACTTGTATAAGACGCCAGCAATTATCTCCAACAGTCTGGTGCTTTAAAATTTCTGTCATTAATTCTGGACTAAGTAACAACTTAGAACAAAGGTCACTGTGAAACACCCTCTCTTCTGAGCAGAAGTAAAGAAGTAAAGTAAAGAAGTAAAGCTAACACAAAGTAAAGTACTAGATAACACAAAGATTTTACTAAATTTGTATTCTCACCATAATCTCAGGTTACCTTACCATTGTTTAAAACACACATTTTTGCCTCTTTTGTGACACTTGCAGTTTCAAATTAGTCTATATGTATGTGTTTGTGTGTCTCCTCCCTCCATGCAGCCAGTTTTTTTATAACTAAGCTGAAAATTCTCCTGTGCAATTTGTTCCTGCATGAGAAAAAAGGGGAAGTTTCTCCATCCACCTGCTCAGCAACTCTTTGTTTGGCAGATGAGTATTTTACGTGTAGCAGGCAGTAAGCAATTTGCAGGGAGAGAGACAAGGAACTATTCTTACTTTCTGTGAAAGTCTTTATTTTGCTCCAAGACAGCTAAAGTTTTGTGACAAAAATTCTGTTCTGCACTTGCTCTTAGTGATTTTCTGTTTTTTAAACTAGCAAAATTCTTCCTTTTGACAATGGAATTTCACTGGAAAATGCCTGAGTCTCTGTTTAAGTCAGTGGGAACCCATGCCTAGAACCTGCAGGTTTGCTAGATACGGTTTTGTGTCAACACTTAAGCTCACTAAGAACCTAGTTTCCAATGTTGAAACTGTGCTGGGACTGATATAAATGGTAGGACCTCCGTTTAAAGATCTAAAAAGTCTTCTCTTGACATTGGTGATACTTTCCAGCTTTCAGAAACTAACCATTCTACTAAGGATGTTTGACTTGGAATAGGACAGGAGATTTCCTCTTACTTTTCAACATAAAATCCAACACAACATGGTTGATTTAAGCATTTCTCTACTTGCAATGACCAACGTCCCAGTTGCATCAGTATAACTGTATCAGAAAATCTTTATCACTGTAATAAACTATTTGATCAATCTGACTATAGTCAGCAGTGGAAATTGTGCATGATATAGTTGAAAGGCAAAACTTTTAGAATTCTATCTTTATTGAACTGGACTTCAATATATTTTGAAGAATTCAGATTTGCATCCATATTAGATATTCCTCTTCTGCTGCTCATAAAGTAGACAAGTTGCTTCTCTAATGTACACTGTTTATATTTTTTCTATTTGAGCTGCACAGTTACACAAATACTATTTTTATAAAAAAAATCATTATGTATGATGTGACAAGTGGCTTCATATTAACACCCTTCCTTTCTCTGCTAAACAGAAAACAGATAAAACATTAATGGAAAAGCATTTTGGTGTCAAAGCCATTAACATTCTTCCAAAATGCATAACTGCTCTTGACTATCTTCAATCAATATTGCCAACATAAAAAGATGCTCATGTACACACACAAGGGATAGGAGAGTAGGGAGGGGAAGAGAGGAAAGAAATTGGAATGAGGAATGGGAAATTAATGTCTGCACCAGAATAGGCATCTTCATTGAGCAGGAACCTGGGTGTTTCCAAAAGGACACGTGCAATTAGAAAGGCAAGCAGATGAGAGGACAAAAAATAAAACAGGGTTGAGCAACAGCAGCAGCAGCAGCAGCCAGTTTTACTTTTGGTTTGGAGGGAAAAAAAGGCAAAAGAAAACCAACAAAACAACCAACCAAACAAACAAACCAATAACTGAATAAAGTTTGTAACTATTTTTTTTTTAATTTCACAAGTTTTCACAAGGACAAAGTTATAGAAGGAAACCCACAGCAGTTGCTAGGTCATGCAGAACCATTAATTTTCATACCTTGGCCCATTCTATTCATCCTTGTTGCACTTTAGAAAAAGAAGTAAGCTATGTAAGTTTTACAATGCTTTTAAACTGTCATATTTCTGGTTGAGCACTTTAACTGGCACATCCTTGAAGTAATAAATATTCTCAGGGCAAAACATGATAACTTTCTTTGCAAAAAGAAACACATGAATTTTTCTTTACGATGAAGAGCAACTGTAATAGCCTCATTTGTAGGGGAGCATCCATAATTTGCAACATATTTCACTGATTGGACTTACAGCTGCATTTGAATGCACACACACACATATATACTGTATTCCAATCATTATGGTTAGCACTGCACAGTGGTATTCTCTGTAGCCCACTTACATGGTTCCAGGTTTTGTCAGTAAAAGTGCTTGGCTTCATTGTCAATTCACACAGCAAGCAAATCTTCAAAATTATCATGCTCGGGGAAGGGGAAGGTAGAAAACAATACTAACCATAAAAGCACCTTGTCTGAGTTGGCAGTTACAATGCTAATCATTCCAAATCCAAATATTTATTTTGTGTCTGCATGCTTTCTTGCTGGGTAGCCAGGAAAGAGGATGTGTTACTGCCCTCCCTACCCTAAGAAACTCTCCATATACCTAGAACTAGTTGTATATCAAAAGGTTGGCTTCTGAAATTTAAATAAAAAAATATAAAAGCAAGCCTGAAGTATCATTTCTATGGTTGTCTAGAGTAGGTTCTTTTCCACTACTTTATTTAGTTCCCTGACACAATTTTTTTTGGCTACATGTGTCATTGTTGATAATCTGCAAGAACTAAATTCAGGCAAGTGCCTAAAACATGATGCCACAGCACAGTGAATATTTCCAACCCATCCCTCTTGTTCTCCTCATTAGCTGTCTAGGGCACAGCACCTTTTCTTCCCAAATGGGAGAGACTTAAAGGCACTCAGTTGTCTTTCCCTGTATTCCTGCAAATTGGCATGCACCTGTTGGAAAAAAAAAAAACAGAACATGCAGCAAGATTTCTGGAGGATCTTTACACATTAGGACTCTTGTTGGAAGATTTATACCAGCACTCTAACTTGGAAAAGTTAAACTACCATCTGGGGAAAGGAACAAAGTCCCTCGAGATCCGATATGTAAGCATAGAAAAATGCTTGCTCTTTTCTGAACATTATTTATTCTGTACATAAGGTGACTAATTCACCTTTTAAAGACGTAAAAGTCCCAGGAAGGCAGTTTTTAATGACTTACATCCAATATTTATGATACATATGGCTTTTTATTCCAAATGTCAAAAGTGAAAGAAAATATAACTATTCATGTGGCAGTATAAATAGACAGAATAATAATTTAATATGCAATTAGACTCTTTCTAAACTTAAATTAAACCATTGGAGTTTTAAAACTTCATGCCCAGACAATATCAGTGTTAAAGGGAAAACACACTATCTCCAAAGGGCTAGTATTTTAGAGAAAATCCTTAAACAAGCAGAAAAGTCCCTGATATTGCTTTGGTATAAAGCAGGTGCGTAGCAATAATCTATACAAAGAGTGTAAGCCCTATATAATATAAGCTTTGAGAGTGAAAAATCAGTAGGGAATTTTTTTTGCAGGTTGTTTTTTTTTTTCCTATAGTTTTATAAGCTTCAAATTAATGTATCAGCTCCTCTAAATATGAATATAAAAAACCCCATACCTCAACATACATCAACACTTCTGCACTAAATGACTTTCTTTGTGTATCTCAGACATCAAGAGCAAGTGTTCATGTTCAATATTCTCTATTTTTGGATATGTAGAGTAACTGCAGTGAGTTATTTATGTTTTCAGTGTGCCTATAGGTTTGAAATTCTTTTTTATTCTCCCCTAGCATCATAAATAACTTTTGGTCCGTCTGCTTTGTTGCTGTTGTGCTTAAGGGTTTTATGGTGGTGAAATAAAAATGACAATCACATGCACACTGTCATACATATGCAAAATATGTGTACAAAAAGGGAGAACTCCATGGGAAAACAGGGAACATCACTGCTGGAAACATTAATTGGGGAGAATGGGTGGTGAATGCAAGTTTCACACACAGTGGGAGTAGATACACATATCAAAGTCTATCTTCCTGCACATACTTCTGTTTTTCCCGGGAATCCCTGCTCTTGGTGCGGTTCGGTCGATTTGCTGTTGATGGGATAGAGTGAACTGATGAGCTCTTCTTGCTGGAAGAATAGGAGGAATGGGAGGAATGAGAAAGGCTGGCTCGGGACTGGCCAGCATTGTGGTCAAATTGCATCAAACAGAAGATCAAGTCTGTCGGCACAAGCTCAAATTCATACGGTGGGTTTGTGATAACATAACTGGAAAAAAAAGGAAGAAAGAAAAAAGAAAAACAGGTTTAGATTTATTTCAAAAAATTTCTTCTAGAGTTGCTAGCTCATGAGATCTAGCCAGATTTTTGCATTTGTTTCCTGCAGCATATACCTAATTTTAGATCACATAATTCCTTTTATGATTTAGGACCTTCTTACATCAGCTATTACTTTTTGCATGTTTTCTGTTGGAAAGACATAATGTCTGAGGAGGATGTGCTTCAAGTGAATCTCATAGTGATTTTTCAGAGAAGACACCATGCAAACCATTCTCCTTTCTCTAGCTGCACCATAATGCAGTGACTCTAGCAAACAGATTTACATATTGACAAAAACCAGTAACATACCCACCAGAAACAATATTTAAAAGAATGACTGAAAAGCAAGGAGACAGGGATTTTATATGCAGTTCTATTTAAAGACATATTTAATATATACAGTTCTTAAATATTTAAATACTGTCAATAAAGCAAGGGTTACAATTATTTGCTTGGATTGTGAATCTACATAAAACAAGTTAAGGAAAATATATCAATAAATTTGTAGTGAGGTTAATTTTGCTCATCCATTCCACATGTACATTCATGGCCTCAAAGAGCATTTATAAAGAGAAATCTGCACATCCAAGAGTCCAACATTGCTTAGTATAAACCCCAGGTCTAAAATAAAAACTTGCTCAGTTTCAAGCATTTCCTAATTCTTCACCTAATGACCTTTCAGGGTAGGAAGGGCTTATAGAGCAGCTGCTAAATTTTATCATGTACATGAAAAACATACTTGAGGAAGGCAATAGGTATTTTCTGTCGGAGCAAGAAATGAGTAAAAATTGAATATGAAGCTCACAATTTCTTTTCAAATTAATTCTGTGCTCATAAGAAATCTGCTTAGCTGCTTCAGGGACAGAATTCCCTTAATAATCCAACAAATAACCCAAGTATAGCAAATGTAGTGTAAATCTAAACTGCAAATAATTTTTTCTACCCAATTTGTCCAAATCCTTACAGAAGAAACCACTCTGGTGGCCTGCAGGGTTGTTTATTGCCATGTTCACCCAATAATGATGCTTTTTGTACAGCATGAAACAGTAACAGATGGTAGATTTGTGATACTTCTGGTACGGGTCTGTGTGTGTATTTCTAGGAGGCACTTACTTAAGACACATTTCAAGCAAGCTACTAAATGGCCTTCAGTTTGCAAAGATGGAAATGTGTCTGCTCCATTTAAAGCACTGGGGTCAGGCTCGGTGCTCCTGAAGTAAAAATGTGGTCTACCAAGGGAAGGATTTCCATTTACTGGAAGAAATTATGATTAGATACAAATAGTACTGATGGGAAGCCCAAAGGAGTATTTTTTGAGTATTCAGAAAAAAGACTAGCTACTATAACTTGAATTATTATCCTGTAATTTACATTTGATTGACATCAGGAAACTGAAGTCCTTTTCTCGCATACAAACAGTGGATCATCCTAAATCAAACAAAATAAAGATAAATTCTGAAAATTTAATTTGTTTTGAATAAAATTAGCTAAAAATTTATGCTGTGAGATCCAGCTTATAATTTAAAGTCAACTAAAGAGTCATTGTGAAGTCCTCAAAGACTTAGCTATTGTGGCAAAGTTATGCCAAAAATGGAGAAAGGTCTTTTTTTAGATTTATTACAGGCCCTGAGATCTTCCTTGCTGAGAAGACTGAAGAACAGTGAAGCTGAGATGTTCTAGAAGACTGGACTTACCGTTTAGTGCATTGGCTGGGAGTGCTTAGATGTGCATCCCTTAATCGATAAATTCCAAAGCAAAGCATATTGTATGTTTTCAGTGCTTTACAAAATAGATCTCCATAACAACCTCCATCCTAGGAGAATGAGGGGAGAGATTAAAAAGAACAACAGAACAGTACATTTATTTCCTTTCTTTTCTCTGTTAACACAACGTTGGGGATCAGGTTTTTCAATATGAACTTATAAAAAAAGACAATATATAGATAGTCTGTTGTTTGTCTCAAATGAGAACCTTTTATCCAAGGAAATGAATAATCTAAATGTTTTATTTCAAATAAGTAACTATGTAAAGTGATCGTTATTTTAGAGAGCCTTGGTCCCTGAAATGATGGTAAATTGTAAAGAGTGATTTGCTTTAAGCTGGAAATATAAATTTTGGTAGCAGACAATGCATATTCTACAAATTACATTAACTGTGGTATTAAAATTGTTAGTATCTTTGACCCTTTCTTGGCAGCAGCCATACTGTCATCCAGTATGAAAAAAAATCACCAGGGAGCACAACAGAAATTAGAGTTCTGCGGGGTTAAAAGGATAACAAAATATCTCCCTCTGTAAAATAAAGATGAGATGTATGCCATTTTTCATAAATAACATAAAATGTTTTGATTAGCAAAAAAAAGTTTAGATTTGATCATTCATGTATCTAAAAGAGTGATTCTTAAGTAATAGGGTGTTAATGCATTCTGCCCTCACAGATGTAAGTGCAATTGAGGCTCTGGTGAAAGGATTTAAAAGGATTGGTATTGCTTGGTTTATTTCTGGAAATGTTATGCTGCATGCCCAAGTGTTTTGATGAGCTGTTAGTCTTAGCTACAATTGGACTTCTACAAGAATTGAAAGGCTGTTTGCTTCTAGCTGTATACTCTTGCTGCCCTTAATCCTTGAACTGAGATTCCCTGTCATTTTTGTGAAGAAGGTTGCTCCATTCTTTTTGAACACAGCTGGTGAACACAAGGTTAATTTAAGAAATATCAAATCCAACATCATCACCAAAGTGAAGTGGGTGCTTTGGGATTCACCTCAGGATTTCAAAACGTGGTCCAGAAAAAATTTCTAGATACTTACTTATCCAAATGCACTGTTTTTTGAAGATCATTTGTCTATTTGGGTTTGGTTTTTTATATTTTTGTTTGTTCGGTTTTTTGTTTTTCTACTTTATTCTTAGGATAGTGCAGTCAAAATACCAGAAAATTATGATTTCACAAGAATTTTAGTTCATCCAGAAACAGCAGAAAACAAAGCTTATAGATTTGTTTTCAAGCTAATAAGCATATTTTAAGAAATGTAAGCTCTATGAAAACACTATAAGCTTACCAAAGCCCAACAAAAGTATATATGTTACTTACATTTACAATGCATTATTGTTAGAATAGTTACATCATCCAAATCAGTTCATCCATCTCTTTAGCTGACAAAGAAGAGCTACAGGATTTTCTGTATGAAATATGCAGGCAAGGACACTGGGCAGTCATAGAGCTGCTTAAAAAGGTTACGAGCAAAGCTAGCACCCTGTGCTGTAAATTGTTAAACAATTCAAAAGCTCTACTAAATTACAGAAATTATAGGCTTATTAAGACAGATTTTTCACTCGATCTGAAAGAAAGCAAATAGAATGCAGACCAGCCTTGGTCCTACATTTCCCTCATGATCTTACCCCTAGGTCTGCAAACGGCCCATCATACAAAGCCAACTGAGCAACTCGACACCTGTCCCTGTTTGCAAGTGTCTGGGGCGTGCTGTAACCTCCTCTCAATGCATTTTCCTCAGCAATCAGTGCTTCCAGCTCTGGTGTGGCTCCTCCTGTTACCAATGTCCGTATCAGTGTGAGGATATTGTCATTGAAGTATGTCTGCAGAGATAAAAGAAAGCTCTTTAAGCAAACACCATTAAAGTCACAACTGAAGACATCCAAATTACAACTTTTCCGGGTTTCTGCTGTTTAAAGTTCTTGGCTGTCTCTTCAAATAATTTTATATAGAAAGTGAAAAGACAGCAGCCTCCAATTACTCTATTTTCTTCTATCCCATTAGGCTCCTATACTAGATCCTTCCTTCTAAACACCAATTCAGGCTGATTTTTATTAAAGTACAAAAATTTGAATGATTTATGTTTCCTATAATTGGTGTTAGTAGTGATGCAATGACTGCTTTCCTTCTCATCGCCTTCATGTCTAATAATGGGCTTTAGGACATGTAATTGTAAAATTCAGACCACATTTAAAGCTTACACAGGCTAGATTGCCTTTTTACTCTTGTCACCAATTCGTTGGGGAGCTGCCTTTGTGCTGCAAATGTCATTACTTATTACTGTGGCTGGACTCTAGCAGTCTAACCGATGTATTGTACTAAACATCTTATTACGAGACTTGACAGTGTTCAGACATAAGCATGTATCAATTAAACATCTTGAGTTCATTCCAGATAAATGTATGATGAGTTTGGGATCCTGGTGGTCCTTTTAAAAAACTCTAGGGTATAGGGTAAGTGTGGTTTATTAGGGAAGATTTACTCCACACTGACATTTTGCCAGCATCTGTAGCATTGCTGGTCTGTCAGGCAAACAATGGGTATGTAAAATATTAATTTAAATCCAGATGAATGACTTTCAAGTTCACTTAAAAGTATACTGGTATAGTTCAGATATACTCAGTTAAATATCCACAATGCATTGTACTGGGCAAAAAAAAAAAAGGAACAAAAAAAGGAGACACTATCACTTATAATGTCACTAATGTCTGTGTTTTCAGAAGCTTTGTGAGTGCGGGGGACATGCGAGGGGAAAATGAGCTCACTGTAGAGTACACAGGATTGACATTACTGAACCTGTGACTTTTGTTGAATTTACAGCTTGGAACAAATGTCTGTAATCCAACCAAGTAAAAATGAATGAAATGAATTCTCAAACAGTGCTTGTTGTCTAAAGAGAATAATTTTTAAATAATACTTTTCAACGAAATTCATCGCTCTATCTATATAATGTAATTGTATTTAATACATGGGTAAACTGAGGTACAGGTTGAAATATTTTATCCTGAGATCAAAAAGCAGAACTGGCTTCCTGTCCATGTTACTTTGATATTCTTTCTTTGTATAATGAAACTTCGGTTTCATTGTTTGCTTGAGATGACAGATAAAACAGAAGAAAAGGAGTCCTACGTGACAAAGTTTTTCACTGTTACATTGAAGTTTCATAATTTCAAGCTTCTCTGCTTATTTACATAGGTTATTATGCCATTCACCTGTTGACTCAATTAAAATGAGAGGAACATATTGTTATTGTTATATATGCCCTAAAGCAAATATTTGCATCTCATCAGTTCCAATTATTTTAAATTAGCCTGGGTAAGGCATTACATATTTTAAATACAAAGTGTACTGTAAAGAGTAGTCTGACATAAGCAGGGATTCAGGAAGATTCAGCTAGTCTAAAACAACAGCTAATCTCAAATCAGCTCTTACATATGTGGATGCACTGTAGCAATTCAAGTGCAATACTCAAACCTTTCTTAACATACAGAAAAATCAATGTGACCCCTTTCAGGAACGTAAGTCTGCAGCAATTACATGATGTTTAATAGGAATTGCCATGGTGAGAGAGAGAAGACATCCAGGCATGATTTTTTATTCTTCAATTACTTCTTCCTTGATGTCCCCGAGGTGAGAATCAGAGTTGCTCTTTTTGGCAACTCTTCCCACTGTGCTATACTTTTCCAACATGGAAGTACTCAGAATCCAAAGGAAAAAAAAAAGGCAATAAAGTTAGTCTCTTCTCTTTGCTTTGTCAGCATGTGCTATATAGCACTCAGAACTAAAACAATGAGCACAAATCCTTTGCTCCTGCAGTTAGGCAGCAGTGTTGCTTGACACCAGTTTCATGGATATAAAACCAAATTCTGCTAGATCTAGAGGTTGGACGTACTGCAATTGTAGAAGCCCTTGGAAAAATGTGCTTCAATATATGCTTATAATATATATATATTATACATATTCTTATGTAATATATATAAGAATATATTATATATGGCATCTTAAGCACACATCTTGACAAAAGCATAACATTTTCTGCAATAGGGTCTTTTCTCACACCTTCCCCACTCTTTTATTATGGACTTTTGATTCCTTTTCTTCTCTAAGTAGTGATATATAGTATTATTGAAAAATGCTGTTCACAGTTTTACATCTATAAATCAACATATAAGAACATGAAACAAAAGTAAAAGCATATCTTTACTGGTGTTTTCTTCAAATATGTTTTACAATGAGGCCAATTATGGTAAGAAATGATCACCTGCTCCGAGACTGATGGATGCTGGTTCTTTTAGAATAGCCTGTTTTTATAGACTGCTGACTTGCAGCGATTGGTAAAACATGCAAAAGTCTAAAATAGCACTAATAATTTCATTACCCTTTAGGAGTAAAATAGGCAAGTCTTCTGATTTCCAACCCTTTCTCTCTCTATTCTGTAATTCGAATTATAGCAATAGCCAGAATCCAAGATGCAAATGAAAAAAGAACCAGATCTACTGTTGATGGAACATAATACTGTCACCAGAGAAAGGCTTCCCACTGCTAGACAAATGTTAAGGCAAAGTAAAGACATGTACTAGCAAAGGAGGCAACATTTATCTTGGAACAATGGCTTAATTTGAGTTTCACACCATGATGGATTTGGATGTCACTATTTAATCAGCTGGATGAGTGCAGTCAAGTGATGGGTTTTGGGGTTTTATATGTCATCAGTGAGAGAAAAGGTTCCAAATTTCAGGACAAACTGCTCCAGCATTGCATCTAATCAGAAAATGCTCAACCATAAGCAAGAAAAGATGGGTGAATAGGAAGCTGTAAGTTGTCACTGTCTGCTAAATAGGGTCTCTTCCTCCTGTACTAATGTCTTTAACACTCCTCAGGAAAAACCTGTCTGTCCGTGCTTTTGATTGTCACAAAAATCAGACTCTTGCCAGTTTGGAACTGGGGGGACACTGAATAGCTGATATCCATTTCCTTTGGAATAATAATACACTGAAATTAATTTGAGAGTGATCTGCTACTTGCTCTGTGGGAGGGTACATGGCCTGGATATGCCAGTACTTATAAGAAACTGATCTACAGAATGTCTTTGGAAAGGTGCTGTTGTATTTAAAGTAACAAGGCACTTTCCAGTGATGGCAAAGAATCGCTTTTGTTTAATATAAAATCATAACTGATGAAATACTTGTTTGCTACTGTCATTGACCAAACCCTGCACTGGACATCTGCATGACATTGCTTTAGTCGGCATCCGGGATGAGACTATGAAATAGGTGTAGTCTAAACGCAGAAAAAAGGAAATGCATCATAGACACTGAAACTGGGTAAATAGCAAGGAAATTATGACACAGATATCTGAGCTAGCAGTGCCACCTAGCCCATGCTCTGGAATTGTAGTGCTGCTCTTTCAGATGTTTTGGGGATGCTTTCCCATTTGTTCAATCATTTTTTAAAGTATAATTACCAGAGTGCTTATGTTTTGCAGTTAATACTGTCAAGCCTTTTAAACTAATTGGTCTTCTACAGAAAATGTAACTGAAAATTAGCACATCTTTTAATAATATTGCTTTAACTTTAATAGCACTTTTCCTTTCGTTTATAATTACACTAAAATTGCCATTTTCCAAGTAATATCTGCCTTTTTCAGTGTTTGCTGCTGGTTTTGTATGGATTTCCTTTAAGAAGACTCCTTTGCCACTGCATGCAGCTTTTAACCTCACTTTCAAACAAATATCTTAAATTGCTGCTTTTTTTTTTTCAGTTGGAGGAATAATATATACCCAAACCCGAGGAATGACTGAGCTAACATGAGTAACTCCTATCAATAACAAACTTGCTTTTGAGACAGAACCAACAGCAGAAAATAAATAACAGCATTTCACAGTTTGAAAATCTATTAATTCTCAAAGTATTGTCCAAACTTTAAAGATGTTTGGGACACTTTAAGTTACAAGATGCTGCTTGGTAACCCCTGAACAGACTTATAGTCTTATGTTTCAAAATTTCCATATCACAGATTAGAACAGTTTCTTTTCTGTATAAATAAGACTGTGAAGATCCCTCAGACAGAACTCTCAAAAAGGGGACATAATGAAAAGTTATTTTTAACTGTTTTAACTATTTTCTTCCATTCTGTGCTTTTGTTTATATGAAGAAAAAAGTAGAATTTGGTAATACAGAAAAAAATCAAGACCTAAAGTTCTAGCATTAGGAAATGAATTCCAGGAAATTGAACATTAAAGGGTATAATCTGGTTCTGGAGATCCTTGCCTCTAATGGCACCACTCTGACAGTACGTCAGGTCTGTTGCCAGTGGTATGTGTGGGAGGGATAACAACCCACCAGGAGTTCTGTGGTTCTCACAGCTTCAGTGCCAAAAGGAGTAAGAGCGAAGCTTTGGCTCTCAGGCCAACTGCTCAAACCTTTAAGGTACTGTAGTCTGATAAAGCTGGTTTCCTTGCATGCACAGGAGTTTCTGGAATACCTGTCTCAACAACAACCAGAAAGGGAAAAAGTATTTCTGTTCAAAAATTTGCTTGTCTTAGACTATCCTATGTCATGTAACTTTTCTATAGCTGGAGACAATATTTTTAAAAACCATTCACATAATCTTAAAGATGCTTCCAATCCCACACTTTTTAGTCACATTCCACTTGGTGGTGCCACCTTGAGACTGACAGACCACATGTACTCTTTCCCTGGGTTTGCATATGTTACGACAAATATTAATAAATGATTCAAGTATCTGATGGCAGTAGATGTCTCTTCAAAGACATAATAATGATTAGCTGGAATGATTTAACAATAGCCACTGACATGGTTAAAACATGAATTATGCCTAGAGTCTTCACACAGAGCACAATAATGCCCTCAAACTGAAGCCTGTAGAGACCACTGCTACCAATTCATCAAAAAGACAATGCAGGTTTTGACCTGGTTACTGTCTTCTCAGCAGTGATGTTTCAGCTACTACACTGTGAATCTTGGGCTTGTGGAATATATTGCCTTTGCTGCAAAGGACAAACTGTGTGTAGGTGGCCAGTAGATAGCATTTTGAAAACTAAACTCCATTAGGCCTTTTATCTTCGAAATAAGCAAATAACAGACAATTTCAAATTTAAAATACCTAATACTGTCATCTAATAGGAAATAATTCTAAACTAGCAGAATGTAAAGAGTTTCAGTATTCAGAGTTGAGTCAGAAAGTGACCAGATTTTCTAATTTGTGATTCATGATTAGGGTTTAGTGCACTATTTCTCTGTTAATGAAACTATAAAAAAAATAAACTAATAGTTTACCACTGATTAATACTGTAGAATTATTATTATCCAATGACTGAATTATTTAAAATATATTTTGTACCTTTTTTTCTATATACATACATCTATATGTATGTTTCAGATTATCCACAGGTCAGAAATAATACTGTATGCATGGGCATTATTTTACTTTCTAATCTTTCTTATACCTGTTTTACTACAAAACTTCACTACCGTGAGAAGAGATTCATTCTTAAAGAGAAGTTCATGCATTGTACATTTGCACTGTAGACTATATAAGGAATTTGCATTACAGAGATATCAACAGACATCATAAATTGGAATTTTCCTATAAAAATTTTCCTACTAAAACCTCCTGAATCATTAAGTGGATCGAATAATGAACTATATACTTGTTTCCAAGTGAGCTGGCAAAGGCCAGCACAGTGTAAATTATATACTTCTTACAGAATTCCTATGCAACTAATAGGATGAAAGCATGACTGCAGATCTCACAACTTAGCAGGGATTTTGGGTTCAGTTTGCCCACACTGGCTTGAAGCTAGACAGAACAAATAGAAGCTGGTTCCTAAAAAGAGCGTACTCTGGAGAAAAAAAAAATAAACAGATAATATAGTGCAAGTAGATTAGTTTGTGTGAGAAACACTCTTTTCCTTGGAGAAGAAGTGAAGGGAGAATACATCTTTCCCATGAGAATAGGGATAGTAAAGGGAAAACATCTCACACATTTTACCCTTTCTGAAGGGTCAGGAAGAATTGTACTTTTCCAACTCTTTACTGGGCCTTTGAGGAATAAAAGACAAAATAACGCTGCCACCAATCAGCAAAGTGGTGAAAGAAAAGACAGGATGGTGAACAATTCTAAGTGACTGAATCCTTGGCTTGTCTTCTTGATTAGTATTTTTTCTAACTATAGAATTTTCTACTCTTGTTATCACATTTCTCTGGCTTCAGGCTGCACTGTCCCTGACATACAATATGACCACTTAGATGTGAAAATGTTTGGAAAAAAGACTGTTAAAGAAAGGAATTGCAGAAATGGAGGGTCATGTTGTCAAAAAATGAAAGTTAATAAAAGCTAGCAATAACTAAAAATATTATGAGGATTACATGGTGAATTCCAAATAAAAATTTCTGAACAGGCATGGTCTCTACATATTTTTCATTGCCTCACTATTATTTACATGACATACTTTTGCACAAGAAAGCAGTGATGTCCACAACATTTCACTCTCTTTCTGTGGTGATGCCAGAGGCAACCAGAATGATCAATCCTACTTTTTTGAGATTCTGGAAATGTTCTACTGAACAATATATTCAGGGACATTGACTTAGATAATAATGGGAGTAGATATACAGCTCTCAGTATAACAATTTGTTAAATCATTCCGATATATAATTTGAAAATGTTAAATATTTTATAGGTAGAGATTTTAATTAGAGAAGGTACAGAGTTTAAGTGTGTTTGCTTAGGCTTTCTGAATTTGTCACATCTGCAAAACATTGTAAATAGCTTTCAAGAAAAGCATTTTCTGAGGTTATTGAAAACTCCAAGACTGCATTAGAATAAACTTTCATCAGTGTAGACTGATATTATTCATCTGTGGATGAAACATATGAGAAATATAACAGCAAAAAATACAAAATACAGACATAAATATAAAATACAAATAAAATACTAAATTGTAAAGATCACTGTGAATTTTTATTAAAAGCAAAAAGCTTCATTCTGAATTTAGGTGAAGGTTGGACTTGGCTCCTTTAAAGAAATCCATTTGCTCATACATCGTCTTACTTACAACAGATGATTCCCAGCACTATGGAACTTTATTCCACGGGGACCTCAGAAAACCTAAGCTTAGATTTTTAAAAGACTATGTCCTTGCTATATCTAGCAGAGCTGAAGGTCACTCTGAAAGAAGTGTAGCTCACACAGAGCAAGACTGGTCTGAAAACATAGACAATATGAGGAGAATGAAAAGGAGTAGGACCGAGGCTTCAGAACTGTACTATGGTTGCAAACCAAAAGTCCTAATGTAGACATAACCAAAGGCCACCATCTGTAGTTTCTAACATGTGCTGAAGTTTTGATTCACAAGAAAACTCGTATGAAAAAGAGAGGATAACCTTTCTTCACACAAGTAGAGTTCATGAGATGTGTACAATGGCTTTCAAATAGTTCTATCAGTGTCCCCCAGTGCCCATATTCAGAGCATTGTTCATAGCTACAGGAAATTAAGAGCTCAAAACACAGTTGATGTTGCATGACATGAATGGTGTGCATTGTGTCTGGATTTCAGGAGGAAGAGACAACTTTTTTTTGAAAATATTATCCTTAAAACCTGACATAAGACTCTTTCCTCATAAAATTGTGGACTTGTGGAAGTCCTAGATATCTCAGTTAAGGTCTCCATGTCCAACAGGAAAAATAACCTAGTTTAGGTTCTGAAATTCTTGACATCTAAGAAAAAAGTGTCTTCTCGTGCCTACCTGAGGAAAAGGGTCTATGCTTTCACACTCTTTCATAATGAGTCTGATGGAAGGGAATGAAAAAGGTTTTGTTTGCTTACCGCGCTCATGAGAGAGTCCAGCACGCTGACAGCAAACGCGGTTCCACATGCAAAGGGCTGCGTGAGATACAGTTCTGTGTCTGGATCATCATCATCATCTTGGTCCAAGAACTGAACATTTGAATCATTTACTGAAAATAATAATAAGAAGAACAGTAAAATCATAAGGTGCCTCTGAGTTACCAGCACGCGACCTCACACATTACACAGTCAAAGAAAAAGAAACGGCATATGTCTGGAAACACAGACTTGTGTCTTTGACGTCACTGAAAATGAAATCAAGATGGATGTGAAAACGTGCATTTAAAAATCTGTTGCTTGTAAGAGGTGACACTCTTGTTCTTGAGAGGTGACTATCCCTTTGCTGTAAAAGTAGCTTTGTGGCACCAGCTGCCTGCACTTCAAATGAGATACATGACGCACTTATTTATTGAGACAATCTTGGTACTGGTTGGGTACAGTGGCTAAGGCTGTATGCATGGATAGTGAAATGTTATCACAAGATACAAAGTTAGAACCCCGTTGTAAAATAAAGGCTGTCAATAAAACTCTGATATAGCCCACAGGCATCTGTTAGATGTGCTGCTGTGATTCTTACTGAAATGATGTTAATGCACTTATGGCTCAAAAGAGGATAGACTGTCCCTTTAACATGCATCTATCTGAATGAATGAGCAGCTATTCTCTTGCAGCACTGCCTTTTGTTCAAATATTTGTCTCCGTAACTTCACTTTCTCAGCCACAAATTCTATATTAGCCAGTGTGAAAAAGAATCTACATGAGGCTGTTTTAAAGAAAAAGCCTGAATAAAGTAGTATTTGTCATTTAGACTTCCTCTGGCATTTCATTGTCACAGTTAAGCCCTCTGCCTCCATCTCATTCCAAATAAAAATAGTTGTTTCCTTGAGATCAGTGTATCAAGTGGATCATATTTCATGAAATATTTCCATATTAATCTCCCTCAGGCATGAAAGCACAGACTGCTTAGCTACGCCATCGGAATACCCTTCAACTTACTAAACAACAAATTAATTTCAGTTCCCATGTAAAAAAGGGAAATTAAAAACTTTTTGAGCATTTGAAACTGCATATACTATGTCTCTATTCCCTCTGTGAACATGAGCCAACCCAGTGAACTCTGAAGACAGAATGAGAGCTGCTGTTAACTTTATCAGATTTCAGCTCTGACCTTCTTAAGCTAGAAATTCTTCTGCCTGCTACTCTGATCTTCCTTCTCATACAGTTTAGCTACCTCCCATATAGTTTTCTTTTCCATCCACTCCTTTTCCAGACTATATTCTACTGTCCTTGCCATGCTTAGCTTACAAAACATAAATTACTACTGATAAAGCCTCATGATAGCTGTCTAAAGGAGATGAGACTATGATTTAAAATTCCTGCCTTCCCACTCCCTGATGTAACTGCAAATACATAACACCTCACCATTGTAATCAGAGAAAATCAGAGTCAGAAGAATTTCATCCAAGAAAACACCAATATCCACGATACTTCTTTCTTTAGTACAATACCTATCAATTTATTCTCCAGATTCTTGAGCAATATAGTATTTGAAAGCCTGCTGTATCATTTCAAAATGTACTTTTTGAAAAGCTTGTACCTTAGTTTAATTTGCTAGTTGAGACTAGGCACTATTGACAGTACCATTCTTTTTCCACTTACATCTGGCAGACTAATACCTGTCTTAGACACCAGTTTGCTAGACACGCATGGTGTCAGTTCCCAGGATGCTACAAATCTAATGTGAATTCTGCAGGTGTGTTATCTTCAATATCTTTATCTTCCTAATGCAAGTTAGCATGCTAGTATTTCTATGAATGGTCTCTAGGCCAGGTGAGGTGGGCTTGAATGTGTTGTGCTGCGCCATAGGGAAAGCTCATCAAACGCTGCTCGCAAAGGCTGGTGAGAGCTCTGTGTCAGGAGGGAACAATGCAGAAACTTGACTGCTTCTCTACAGCTTCAAAACCTGAGCTTCTGGGAAAAAGCCTATTCCCTAAAATAAACAAACAAATAGCTTAAGGGAAAGTATGATGCTGGGGTTTTTTTTCCTGGTATCTTTTAGTTCTTCTTGGACTTCCTGTGAAAACTGTTAAGGCATGTCCACCAAACTGACAACAGGCTGAACTAACAAAAAAGAAAGAGAAAGAGAGAGAGAAAAGGAGAGAAAAACTGGGGGGAGATGGGCACTGGGAGGTGGGGACTCAGGTCAAAGAAAATGAATTGGTGAGGAGGTGCTATGAAAACAGCCGGCAGGTCAGACGAGTGTGATCAAAGGTTTACTGATGCTGCGTGAAAAAAAAATCATTAAGAAAGACCAGAACGAGACAGTCAATTTCAACTAGAACCACAAATAAAACACATTCAAAGCAGTGCCATGAGGGTAGCCCCTCTGATACAGCCAGATAAATAAAGGGAAAGCTGATGACAGTAAGAACAACAACAACAACAGAAAATAAGACAGTGATGTGAAGGAAAAAGGCACTTCTTACCCAGTTCAGTTATCATAAGAATGTGGGTTCCACTGTTTTTTTCCTGACTGATTGAAACCAAAGGCAGAAGTTTGCCAGGCTTAGCTAGTAAGTAAAGTATTTAGGGGGAAAAGAAAGTACAGAAAGAGAATAAAGTAAGGGAAAAAGACAGATAAGGCTCTAAAAAATAAAACTGAAAAAGAAAATAGAGGACAAAGGACCACAGATCAAGTTTGTATTTGCCATGAAAAAAACAGAACAGCTTCTGCACTTCACATCACACCACTTGACAACATAAATACCCACAGCTAGAGTGGAAATCAGAGTCTAGTTACCTACCATCATCGTATTCTCAGGAGTAAAATATCTCATACTATTATGCAGAGTTTGGTTACACATGATTAAACAGTTTTGGACCATGAAGAAATAAACAAATGGCCTCTTACAATTGATTAAATGCACAGGAAATATCTGCTCATACTTACTGTGGCTTTCTTCCTTTTCTAACCTTAGCCCAAAGACCTCTGCTTATTTGCTACGCTATGCAAAAAGTATCTTGCCTGATAGAATATTTAAGAAAATGGAGAAAACCCAAAGGGAGGAGAGAAATATATTTCAGTTATTCAAATAAAGTGAACCAACTGTTACTAAACTTTCTTCAGAGAGAGTAATTCAAAACAGTTATCAAAAGAGAAAATATAACAGTGTAAGACACAGTATGGGTAATTTTTCTGTGACTGCATAACAAGGGAAGTGGGAAAAAGATACAGGAATGTACATGAAAGGATAAATGTTAGCTTTCCTTACCTAGCTCTGTAATAATAGGGATGTTGGTTCCTGTTGTAATGGAGGGTTGACGTAACAGGCCATGGACTGGACTGTTGTCTGGAGATGACCTATCCATTCCAGGGGGTGTAAAGCCTAAAAGAAAAAAGAAAAGGAGAAAAAAAAAAGAGAAAATTTACAGAGGTCAAACTATGGGGAATTCCCTATCTCTGATTTTATTATTTTCCAGGAAAGTATGGTAAAAAAGTGTAATTTAAAAAAAATTGACTTAATTATCAACAATTATTTCATAAAAGCATAATCCTTCACAAATATGCAGTTTATTTCTACTGTAAGATATTTGAGAGCTAATGGAGAAACTGAAATTCATTTTGTTATCCTAAGCCTTTGCATCAAAAGGTGTAAAACGGAAAGAGTAATGCTTACTTAAATAAAAATAAAAAAGATCACAGTGTTTGAGAGGTTTAATTTTGTTTTATCAGTATTTCAATAATCCTGAAATAAACACCTTTCCTTAAACAACAATGAACATTTTAAAGAGTACTGTTTGTAAATGGTAGTAAAACCATGAGGAACAAATTGTTTCCATTAGCTGGTTTTAGGTTTGATCAACAAGCAGGGTTTACCTGTTTTCCAGGAGCAATACAACCCACACATGGTGTTTTGGTTGTTTGCCTGGTTTTTTAATTTTCATGTGTACCATTTATAATATGCATTTCTATGAGGATTACTATTGTAGGAATACTGCAATGGAAGGGTTCATTCTAACAGACAAAAAGATAGGATGGAAGGAAAAAGACACAGGTTTTCAAACAGTATCTAAGAGGAACCCTTCAAAAGAAACTAGAAAGAGTGAAGATGTAAAGGAAACAAAGGTGGGAGAGGAAACATACTGGCAGGCACTCACAGAAAAAAGAGATCTGGAGACCAGCAAGGTTCACTCCAAAAGACATTATGTTTTCAGCCTGATTCTCTACACACTTTGAAAGGGAGCCCTTGACATCGAGCATTTTTTTGTCCTTTTTTTTTCTTCTTTTTTTTTTCTTTTTCTTTAAACAAAAAATACCCAGGAAAAGCCTTTTGGAGTTTGATTGTAAATACTGAAAAACAGGTAGTTATACAAAAGCCTATGCAATAGAAGGATAGAAATTCACTGTTGAGACTAAAGCATTCTACTTCCCTTGTCCATTAAAGCTGCAGAAAGCATGGGAATGTTCATTTAATGTCATTATTGCAGAAGTAATGGTGAAGCTAGAGGTTGACTTTAGGGTTTAATGTAGAAAAACATTAAGGCAGCATTTTTAGGCAAATATTTGTATGCCAGAAACAGGATTGACCCAAGCTCACTTTAAAACACACATTTCTGAGAAGACATTAAATTTTTTTGCCACATTATTCCTAAGTTCTTTGACTTCACACCTGACATCCAGGGACAGACTTTTGGTCCTCTGTCAATAAATCTGAATTCTCCATATACTGATTCTAAATTAATCAAAGCCAAATTAATTCCTGACATAAATTCATTATCTTCTTGCAGTGTGGAAACTGTTTCACACCATTAAATTCATTGATACATTCGTTCATCTGTTACTGAATTCAGAAGAATGTGATATTATGTAGTTTACCTTGCTTTAGTTTGGGGACCAATTTACAAACCAGGAAATTTCTAAATTAAATTGTAATTGTTAACCCATTGTACTGGTTTTATATTTTCTGAAGGATTTATGGTTCTTTTCCAGTGATAAGTACCATCACTCTTAACCTGCCCCTAAACTACAAGGACCACTAGATCTGGACTTCTTGATTTAATGGGATTTAAATTTCTCTTTCCATTCATCTGTCCCTATATTTTGTCTGTATCACATATAGAATATACAGGTAATAATTACTGAGGAGAGACTTTCTTAGCCCTCTAGAAGGTACTGGTGTGAATTTCATTCTATCACAAGAAAACTAGATGCAACATGATTGTACAGACAGGATAACTAAGACGAGAGTGAAAAGTCTGTGAAGAAATTCCTTAGGAGAAAAGAAGTGGATGTGTCTTGCAAGACTAAAACATTGCCATAGACAAACCTAAGTCAGTAAAACAATTCTATTTAATATTACCAGTGCATGGAAAATCTTTAGAAAGCAGATTTCTACAAGAGAATCGGAAGTGTTAACAGTCAGTCATTTAATATTGCTCCTTGTGCTGAAACTAATTCAGTAAGACCAACATGATGACAGTGAGTTGCATTTCCAACTGGTATTGGTTTGCAGATGTTTCCTTGTATCTGGCACTATGACTGATAGCTGTCTTGGCTCTTTGAACATTTACTTTTGCATGGCAGAGCTTGGGATTCCTCAGGCTCACAAAGTGAGTCTAACAGAGGTAATTCAGGCACCACCTCATAAGTTACAGGTGATGCTGACACTCTCTCAACAGCAGGAAAATGAAAGCAGGACTTCAAACGCTATCTGAGGACAGGTGGGTATTAATGTGACACCTCCTTCTGCAGCAGGATCTAGTGTTTTAAGTCTTGCACTCTGTTACGGAATGCATTCTGTTAGGAGATGCAAGATATGGCCTTTGTCACAGTATAATAGAAAAAGCTCATCCAGACTCCTTGAGCAGTTATGGTGGCAGGCAGTTGGGTTCTCTGCAGAATTACAGGTTAAAATGGCAACAGCAAGATTTTTTTACACTCAGTTATCTAAGAGCAAAGAAAACTAATACTGTTCTCATGCACCCTAGGGATTGTACTGCTTGGAGCATCCCTAGAGGTTCTGCTTCTCCTTTTTTCCTGAAGGTTTTCCTCTGCCCATCTCAGGATGCGCTCCCTAAAACATTTTCTAGAGAATCAGGCTCTTCAGATGGTAGGAGCACATCAGCATTTCCCTACCAGTTAAAAGCAAATTGAAGTAAGTTAGCATAGCTGCATCTAAACATGCAAGTTCTTCTTGTGTTCCCTCCACTGCAGTGTGCACACACACAGAGGCACGGACACGCACACTCTCCATCCAAGGCTGTTTGTAGCCACCTCTCTAACCCTTCAAATATTTGCCTTCCTAGGATGGTGTCAGAAGATTGAAGTAAATGCAGCATTTCTGTTAGACAGCGACTGTCAGAAGCTCTGTAATTGCACACTGCACACACAGTGCATTTGGGCTGAAATGCAGGAAGCATGTTAAGGGGAATTTGTTTTCACCTTGAATGTAAAACTAGACTCGTGCCTTGATATTTTTCATCCTATGGTCTTGAAAGATGTGAGAAACGTCTGTTAATTTAATTTCCTTGCTTGTACTTAATTCAGACACTTCTAGAAATTTACTTTTAAAAAATTTTGGAATATTTTAAGGAAAAGGAAAACTGAAGTATTTGCGGATTTTGCGTGTCTGTGTTTGGAGTCACATGGTGTCGTACACCTTCAGGTCACATTCCTGCTCCCAACTCACAAAGTAAATTCTATACATAGGTTGTCTATTTTTTTCCTCCAGAAAAGAGAACAAAAAAAAAAAAAGTGCAGGAAAACTAACCTGCTTTATCAGAACTTTCATTTAAAGGCATGAAAAACTACAAGTGACAGCTGTGCAGATTCAGTGAATGTGACATTTTTGAATTTCTTCAACTTGACAAGTAAACACCTTAAATCGGTAATGCTATATGCATAATACATGACCTGTATTTTGACATCCATCATCGAATGCTGACTTGAGAAAATACAGGTTTGTACGTCAAGGAATAGCACCCATAAAGCAGGGAGAAATTCAGGTCACAGGGTATTAGGAAAACTCTATTTCATTACAGAAGCTGAAACAAGCTAAGGCATCAGATTTAAGATCCATTTTCAGTTGTGAAAAGATTAAATTCCTCTGCACAGAGCATTCATTTAGAAATGACATGCTTTCCTCACAACCTCTTTTCATTTTCCTTTTCATATTCCATTTTCTCCTTCAGTCCACAAACCTTGTTCCATTAACGCTCATAAAAATCATAAAACAGGGCTGATAGTTGTGATCTTACAACCACAGTGTCTCCTTGTTCAACAAACAACTGAGGGAGCTGTGGCTACAATTGCTTAAAAGGATCAACCTCTACAGTAAAATTCACATGGCCTGTACAAGTCTGAGCACAGCCTCTGTGGAAGGAAATACAGTGACAGTGGGGGACTTCTGGAGAAGGGAATTGTCTTTGCCAACAACGAGGAGGTAAGGTACCTCCTTATCAGTTCCAGCAGCCACTGCATCCAGTACTGAATTGCTATACTTGCTGAGTGATTGACTTGCATCCCTTGGTTTTTGATTTTTTGTTGTTTGTTTTGTGGTTTGTTTTTGTTTTCCTCATTTATTAAACTGGCTTTACCTCAGCTCACGAGGTTTTTTCTCATTGTGGGGAAGTGAGCCAGACTGGCTTAGTTATCAGTCAGAGTCAACCCACCACCATCCGCTATAGGGATGACCACCACAACAGTCACAGAATCATTTAGGTTGGAAATGACCTTTAAAATAATTCAGTCCAACCATTAACCTAGCACTGCCAAGTCCACCACTAAACCATGTCACTAAATGTCACATCTAGATGTCTTCTAAACACCTCCAGGGATGGTGACTCCGACACTTCCCTGGCCAGCTTGCTCCAATGCTTGACAACTCTTTCAGTGAAGAAATTTTCCCTAATATCCAACTGAAGCTCCCCTTGGCACAACTTGAGGCCATTTTCTCTTGTCCTTTCATTTGTTATCAGGTACACAAGACCAACCCTCACCTCACTACAACTTCCTGTCAGGTAGTTGGAGAGAGCAATAAGGTCTCCCTTATCAAACTGAGGGAACTTCAACAGAAGGCAGCACACTCCTGAAACAAGATGATGCCAGACAATGAACTATATATATCACATCTCTGAAAGGAACACAGGTTCTGGGCTTTGACATGCTCAAAATCAGTGAGGCCTGGCAGTCAGCAGTCCCTGCATACCCCCTGGCATCAGCCCCCCTCTTTGAGAGGCAGGGACTCCCATTCCCTAACTCAGCTACCTTGCCTGAAGGAGTTTGAGCCTGCTACAATTCTCTGCAGAAAGCTGCTGGTTCAATGTCTTGATTCTGTGCAAAAAGTATTCCCCAGCTCCCTCTAAGATACTACTGCTCACAGAAGTA